AACTATTTATATTTTCAAGCTTCTAGAGTATAATAAATGATCAAGAAACAACAATCAGGCTTTTCAAGAACTCAAAACATAGTTAAACTGTTTGTATCATAAAAAGTGGGCTCATTTGTGCACATGCGCAGATCGGACTGTAGATCTCCTTTAAGTTTCTTATTTTGACATAAAAGCTATTTTTCAATAAATAACATAACATAACAGCTATTTTTCAATATTGTTACAGTCAATTTCAGCTGACTTTTCATCGTAAGATTCCGAACTTCGTTCCGAACTTCGCAAATTCGTTGCGAAGTTCAAAAATTCATAATGAAATTCACAAACAGGTTTGTAAACAAAGCCTCTGATTGGCTATTAAAACAAACCAGCCAATGAAATGCCCAGTTTACAAACCTGTTTGTGAATGTCATTATGAACTTTTGAACTTGGCAACGAATTTGCGAAGTTCGGAACGAAGTTCGGAATCTTACGATGAAAAGTCAGCTGAAATTGACTGTAAACTTGTTGATTCAATATTTTAAAGGTGATCTACAGTCCGATCTGCGCATGTGCACAAATGAGCCCACTTTTTACGATACAAACAGTTTAACTATGTTTTGTGTTCTTGAAAAGCCTGATTGTTGTTTCTTGATCATTTATTATACTCTAGAAGCTTGAAAATATAAATAGTTGTCGAATAAAGCTCAATATTTTGGACACAAAAATGTAAACAAAGGCTTTGTTTACATACGGACTGTAGATCACCTTTAAGATTCACGCCAGTTGTACCAATGTTTATAAGCGCTATATCTCATTATAAGTTTCAGAAGGCATGCAACATGTACGCACTGCGTACCTATTTTTACGAATATTAACGATATAACGAAATATAAAACCCCAATATGTATAATTCCATTAGGTGGTCTGCACATATTCCCTTGATGGTGGAAAATACATCGAAACAAAAGAAAAATCCAATATTATCTGCTCACCAACAAGTCTCCACTCCTCAGTAAAAATTAGTGCATAGTCAGCATTTTTAGCTCGCAGCAGAGCACGTTTACTTCCGGAAAACACCAGAATTTGTGGTGTTCCGGTTTGGCTTGTCCCAGGGCTTACGGCAACGCAGGCAGCCGAGAAGCCCTGGGAACGAGGATGGCCCAATCTCAGAATGAATGATCAGGTGTTGCGGGTTTTTAACGGTTTTTATAAACAAATTTATAGTCAACCAAAACTATTTTAAAAACATTCTTAAATTAGTCAAATAAATACATTTTAACAATAAAATATAGTTGACATGATAGTATAACACCTTTGCATTCTTTTAATTACTCCATGAGCTCATTTAGAGCGGTTGATGTAACATTTTCTGTGGCCTACATTGTGTGTGCTCATCTATATATAATATAACAGTCAAAGGCTAATCACTGGCGGCACGACCGCATCGCCTTCAAAGTCAAATATCTCTGCTCAAACTTGTCGTACGCCAAAACTAATTCGATTACATCTTTTCACAAAGATTTCTCTTCCTAAATAATGTGGTTTGATCATAGTTTGGGCAAATTTAGAGACGAACGGAGCCAAAATATCCTCAATTTTGGATGCTGTTCAAAATACTTTATAGGGCTGCTCGGGCACGATCGTGGACGTGACGTAATCAATACATACTGACGATAACGCCTTACCCGGGGTGAGACATTATATGCTGTCCCACCCCATGTAAGGCGGTAAGGCGTTATTGTCAGTACGTATATTGATTACGTCACGTCCACGATCGTGCCCGAGCAGCCCTAAGTATTTTGAACAGCATCCGAAATTGAGGATATTTTGGCTCCGTTCGTCGCTAAATTTGCCCAAACTATGATCAAACCACATTATTTAGGAAGAGAAATCTTTGTGAAAAGATGTAATTGAATTAGTTTTGGCGTACGATAAGTTTGAGCGGAGATATTTGACTTTGAAGGCGATGCGGTCGTGCCGCCAGTGATTAGCCTTTGACTGTTATATTATATATAGATGAGCACACACAATGTAAGGCCACAGAAAATGTTATATCAACCGCTCCAAATGAGCTCATGGAGTAATTAAAAGAATGCAAAGGTATTATACTATCATGTCAACTATATTTTATTGTTAAAATGTATTTATTTGACTAATTTAAGAATGTTTTTAAAATAGTTTTGGTTGACTATAAATTTGTTTATAAAAACCGTTAAAAACCCGCAACACCTGATCATTCATTCTGAGATTGGGCCGCCTGTGGGTGATTAAGGAAACGTATTGATGCGAACAAACTAACAAACGGACCGACAAACTAACAAACGGATAAACTGACAAACTCACAGGCAGAATATAATGCGGTGCCCAAGTTTGGGCACCGCAATTGAAGCAAATAACGGTCTTTCATTACAGTTTATATTTACCGCCTAACTAATGTAATTTGCATTAAAAACACAGAAAGTTCGAGGTTGTTGTGCAGAATCTAAATAAAAAGCGCAAAATGTTTTTATCAATTCTTTTTATACATCCTTAGATTAGTAGATTGGAATAGAAGCTTTAGGTTTTTAGTGCTGGACTTAAGAGATCAAAGCTATTTTCTGAGGGTCAGTTTGTCGTGATTTTAAGAAGGCCGTAAAACGGGTATCATTGCGTATTTTTTCCTCCCCCCCCCCGCATTTCTCTCGACATTCAAAATTTCGCTTGAATTTTGCACTTGAATGAATGAACAAGACTGAGAAAAAAGATCTTGGTGCAAAGTTCTATATTCTGTGGGCTGTAATGTTTTAAATATGTGTAATTTTCAGTTGACGAAAAGTGCAAATTCAGCGAACATGGTCGCCCGGAACTAAAGCGCTGTAAAAAATTTTTTTTATGAAAATTGAAAAACCAAAGTCAGTTTCATAACTCACTGGTATGTGCTATTTCACGGTAAAAGTTTGGGAGAAAACTATTTTCTGATCCAAAATGCAGTGGACCGCTTTTACAGAGACTGCCTCTTAAATCGTTAATTGATTTCAAGTTCAGCCCCCGGCGAAAAAGGGCATGGCAGGGGCTTAACTCGAAAAGGGCTTAACTGGAAGGGCTTTAACTCCAAAATACCTACCCGTCCTCCAACCTCGTTCCCAGTGTCTTTAGGAAAGACCCTGGTATCGGCTGGTCACGTGCCTCGTCCAAAATTGATTGCCCGAGGGGGGTGTGGTGAAAGTATCAAATTACAAACAGTTAAAAACATAAATTTTGCGAACTATTACCAGTAAGTTCACAATACTTGCTAATTTTTGTTTATCTTATTTGCATTGAATTTACAAGAACATTCTTACATTTTTACCAACAGTCAAGTCAAGAAACCAAGCAAATCGTTACTCGCAGTGCTCTCTCGTGTTGTTTTATTCAATGCTCTCTTCACACTCGAGCGCGGTTTTATAACAAACGTTTATGGGCCTTTCAGTGGTCACCATTTCTACATATCTAATGTTTTTAAAACAAGCATTAGATTTGTCCTTTTTTGTAAACGTTGCTATGCTTTGCACGTCTTGTTTATAAGATTTTTAGTATTGTATTGTATTGTATTGTCTAGGACTAGAGAGAGCCCAATATCAGCAAATGTAAACATTTGATACTAGCCAAACAGAGAAATGTCTGTCAGTGATTTATCTTTAAAATTTTGGATTTAGTACATAATTCGTATTCATTAATTATAGTAAGGCTTTAGCCTTTTTCTTGGTCAGATGTTTTCCTAATATGCACACAACTAGGCTATAATCTACATCACAAATTTACAGTGTCAGACGCGCACGGGCTGCCATACGAATACACATAAATTTTCGAGTTTTCTACTTCTACTAAGGCTACTAACAGTTTTCATTGTGTCTCAATCATCTGTTTATTTCTAGTTCAATAAGTTCATTTATATTTCTATATTTATTTGATAGTGGCATATATAGTGATACATGTAGGCTATTTACACACAAGAAATCCTGGATATGATGCACCTATCAATGTTTTCCCCCTGAAGGGGGGGGGGGGGAGTGCGGGCCACCCAGGGGACTTTTGACATTTTTAAAATTTTGTAGTCAAAATCCCCACTCTAGGCCTATGATAAGAAGGCACATATAGGTTTTCCAACACAAACATACTATCCGTATGAACATCGTTATTCCTATCCGTATGAACAACTTTATTCCTTTAAAAAAAGGTCATGGCATTATATGTGTGCCAATGCGCTGTCTCGTTAATTTTTGACATATGATCGTGAACTATGTATGCTATATCATGTAAACCCTGTATGGCTGTAACGTCATATTCTGAACAGATCAATATATTCAAGAATTAATGCCTCCTGCCAGTGCAAAGACAAGTAATTAATTTTGTTTACACATGTAAACTTGGCACAAAGGCATTAATAATTAAATATATTGAATGCCAGAGTTCCATAGTTGGCAGGTATTCAGCAATTACTAAATATTTGTTTAGTTGATGATGTCACAAATACCTTGAAAATGAGATAAACTAGTTTGGGTTTACGACAGTGCTTATTTAGTACATAAATGCTAGTTATATACAGCTAATTCTGAAAATGTTGTCATTTGAAAAACTCTAAACCTTAATTAAACTCTAAGCATGCAAAGCGTAATGGGAGCAGCATCATTTAATCAGTGTAGAAAGCATATATCACAAATAGCTGCAATATTCAACTACTAATCTTGAAACTTGTGCTCCCATTAAGCTTTACTCGCTTAGAGTTTAAGGTTTTTCAAGGGACAACCTTTTTTGAATTTGCTGTATATTATAGCAGGCTAGTTTTCTCATATGCGCAGATGAATTGCAAAATCACAGATAAGATATTACTTCATGTACACCTATAAGCAGATTACATCAGATTGCAAACTTTTATAGATGAAAAATTGCAAGCATGAATATATAATAGCAGCAATAATGCGCACATGAATTGTAAAATGTTTACCAACAGGAAAATTAACACTGTCATTGAAAAATAGAATATTAACAAAATGTTCAAGCTAATTTAAACAAGTATAGCACATCCACTGAATTGGATCACCATCCACTTCAACACACTCCTTGTGAAACCACCCTTGGCATCTGTCACAACCTATCCAATCTACTATGGCGGATGCACAACCAGGAGGCTCGGGCTGCAAGCATTCTAGGCAGATATCATCGGTAGCCTAATTAAGACAAAAAAAAGAATAATATTATATATCTGTTATTACTACATGCATAGAGAAATATGAACGTCTAAACAAATTTGATCTTCATTTAAAACCTAAGAAATTACCTTTGTTTCACTACTACATGCAAGTTGTCCTTGGTTTGATGTAGTTTGTCTTTTTTCCTTATTTCTTTTTCTTGTTTCTGCTGCTTTTTTTGCACCAGCAGCTCTGTGGTCTTTAACCTCCTGAAGGTGATCAAGCCATATCCTTACCTAAAAGTGTTAGGAGTCACACAATCAACATTCACAACAAACAATAAATACGATTTCCAGATAAAAGTACTTTCTACTTACCCCAGAACCAGGCAGTAAACATTTCCTAGACAGTTCTTGTACAGTCGAATCGTCCACAGTTCCGTATTGTTGAAAATGAGCTTTTAGAACCTCGGTAGGGTGTTCTTTATGCTGCGCGACCACTTCGCCTTTAATATAGGCATCAATTAGGTCTTTTGGTGGAAGAAAATGACCAGCACACTCATTTTTGCAGTTAGAGCATGACTGGGATCCATATGGTCGCTGTGGATCAGGAGCTGGTAATGGGATATATGTTATCGGTGGACCACCTTTATACCAGCATAGAGTACTCAAAGGTGGGTCCTCACCTCTACAAATTGGGTGTGGGCATTTCTTGTCATAACAGCATACTAAGTGAAACACATACCTGAGTGGTACATTCTTATTTAAATGATTGCTTCGCACTTCAAACACAGCTGAAATGTATTCGTAATCATCTGGGTAATTTCTTTTAAGTTCTGACTTTTCTGCCTTATTGCCACGTATAAATACTAATAACTTATCTCTTAGACTTTGATACTTTGAACTATCAGCTCCTTTATAATGAAAAATCTGTGCGTCGCCACATGATGCACCATGAACTCTTGAAATATAAACTTCAATAGCGTCTGATAAGTTTTTGCAAAGTCTATTATTGTCAATCTTTCCATTCTCATTTAAGTTAGAACCATTCAACGTAGATGGGATAAACAAACCACACCTCGCTTTAACCTCGCAACCATTCTGTAATTCTACACGATTGAGGTTACTTCCGCCGCTCTGCCTGCTTGTAACAAGTTGCACAACAGTTGGCTTTTCCATGTGTCGCCTTGTCCACCAAAACTGCACTTCATCGTAGCAAGGTGCTTCGTCAGAACCACTGTCTGTTCGTATACATTCAATTCTTTTCTCCTTTCCTTCAAGTGAAATAAATGCTGGCTGGAAATGTTGTTCTTTCTCAAGCATTTCAAGGTCAGCCATGTGCTGAGCTGGATTCTTGCCATGCAGGGGAACGGCTTTGACAACTCCACCACAAAGTTCTCCAGTGGTGTTAGTACTGGTGAAATTGTAAGATGTCTTTTGTAGCTTGTTGGGATAACTTGCTTGATAGTCCGTTTTTGTAGTCAATGTTGGCGTGCCCTTTATCTGTTGTGTACCTGCTTTGTTATGCGTGACCATAGAATCCAAGCGAAAAACAAAGAGATCATCCCTGTTTAAAACCAACTTGTCATTTCCATCTGTGTATTGAATAGCATCGAGGCCTCGATACAACGCTGCAGACCAATGACTATCAGGATTGTAACGGAGTTCAAACCCCTTTCTGGCTCTTCTTGTCGTGACCTGTGCAACAGCTGTGTAGTTTTGGGCAGATCGGCGACGACGGTTACGGGCTACACACATTTGTACCACCGTCCCATATGCAAACTTCCTCCCGTACGTCTTTTCTAAATGCTGTTTGATGCGAAAGAATGTGCACTTCTTTTGCACCTTTTTGTTGCCGTCGAATGTCAATACACCTGTACGACGCCAAGCTTCAGCACCCACACCGCATGATTTGACAAATGCTTCGATTTCCTTACCAATATCCGGGTACTTTCGAAGAATGGTTCCAACATGTTTGCTTCGTTTCCTTGAGAGCAATCGTTCTTTAGCAATCTTCTTCGCAGCTTCCCGCCGACGTTTTCGTCTAACTGCTTGTATCTTCCGTTGCAGCAAAGACTTTCCAGGCCCTTGAAGCAGATCTTCAATTCCAACCCATTCTTCCGGGTTATCATCTTCTGACTCGGATACGATTTCATCATCATTCACATTATTGTTTTCATGTGCGTCTTCTTCTTGTTTATCCAGAAAAACCTGGTAACTCTGTTTGAACAGTTCTAGCTCATTAGAAGGAATCACATCTGGTAATTGTGATGCAAAGACAGCCAAGTCCTGTGGCGTTATGGAAGGTTCCTCAGTTTTCAATGTATCTACAAATGAAATCCAGTTGAAATGATTATCTTTCAAGCAGGACAGTAATTTCTGAGTTTTACACTTTTGGAATAACGCTGTCGCTGTGTCTAATTCCTCTTCGTTTTCACAATACTGATGTGTTGGAACTCTCTTCGTTAGAGATTGTTGTAGTATTAAATCATTTTCAAATTCAACATCTGGATCCGATTCACTTTCGGACGAGGAATCATCAGAGTCAATTTCAGTCGCATCAAATCCAAGAGACATTAACACTGCTTGTAGTTTTTCTACATTCTTCCGAATCTCCAAAGCTCGTGCCAGAGCATGCTCAATTCTGGCCTTCCTGTTAATGCAATTAGAAATTCCAAACTGATTTGTAAGTTGTCTTTGTGATAATCCAGTTGTCTCTGCAACCGTAAAACGCAACTTCTCGTGTTCTGCATCAGAGCTACAACTTTCAATAAGTGCCTTGAAAGTCTCCATGTTTAATAAATTGTTGTCTTGGCGTTTTTCAAGCAACTTCTGTAAAACACTGCGCAGCAAAGTTAGGTTTGCATGCTTGTCAACAAGGAAAGTTTCTGATTTTTTGCTTCCACTTTTCACATTAATAGCAGCAAGTGGCATCTGAAGGAACTTTCTCTTAGCATGCTGTGAAGAATAGTTGGCCATGTTTATTGGGTCTGAACACATTTTGGGTTTGTTACAGGTTTCATTCACATTATTTGTGATTTTCGCAGGACATGCTTCACAAGGTTGTATATGTTCAGCTAAACATTTAAATGCATCTTTCATTTTCCAGTGTCCTTCATTAGCAACTACCTTTGCAACGTTCAGTAATCCAAGACAATTTTTACAAGGTTGTCTATGCTCACTAATACATACTGTTTCTCCCGCAACAATATAATCAACTAATGACAACCCTTCAAACAAAGAAATTGCTCCGTCAGGGGTATCTGTATATTCTGATAGTTTTTGTGGGTAGCCGCGCATGCGCAGCTAACCACTATGTGAGAGACTGAAGCGCGATCTTCCGTTTCTCTGTGGCTCTGTGGCGCTGTGGCGCTGTGGCTCTGTGGCGCTGTAGCTCTGTGGCGCTGTAGCCTTCGTGTTATCCTTGAAATACGAACCGTCTATAGACCACAGGCTAAGTTCACTAACGCTCATACCGTACAGAGATGTGTATAAATTCTTAGTAAAGTCTTTATTGTAATATGTTTTGTCAGGTCGATAGTCATTTCCAACGCATATAGAATCGAATATGTCGTTGTTTTTATAATCACTGCTTGTACAAGGGTCATTGGGTTAATATTAGCGCAAGGGGTCTGTTTTATATCGTGTAATGTCATATTTAAACACGACATATCAGTTTGATCAAACATTTTATACGTATTAGAAAAATATAGTAATTAGTGATATAGCGCGCGACGATTGGACATATTTACGTTAGTCTATATCGAAGGAATGTTGACGAATGACGAACATATAGGTATATAGAATCGAGTATGTCGTTGCTTACATAATGTTTGTAAGGCCACGTCATTGGAATCGGGTTAGTCGAATGTGTAAGTTAAGGCAAATAGAAAGCCAAGCACGGTTTAAATTAGGCAGTGGAATATTAGCGCTTTTTTACTTAGGGATATATTTGTCGAATATTGAAAGCAAATTGAATGTCATTACCAATATATATATGAGATCGATTATGTCGTTGTTTAAATAATTCAATCATCACTGTACTAAATAAATATATGTTGATCTTTTTCAAACTCCGCCGGAAAACATCGTCCTTAGATCTTTGCATGGACTATCCTTGAAACTCAAACTTCACGAAAATTGTATATACGCAGCCTGTAAACCTGATGCTTTGTCTTTGATGTATGCTGTCCTTGAACAAGAACTGTTCTTGTCTTAAGTGTTTTTCGTACTGTCTGTATTTCGGCGTGTGATGTATTTTGTTTCGTATACATATTAAAGACCTTGTACTGTTCTGTCTGTTCAGTGTGCAAATTATTTTTGACACATTAAAATACTTTGTAACTTCTTAAATCTGTTTATGCTTATTGAAAAATGCACGTAACAGTCGTTTACGTATTATTGTCATATCTGATGTTCAGTATGTGATTAAATGTGTGTATAATATTTGAATTGTGTTCAATTTACTTAATACTTTCTTTCAGTAAATTCGGAATTTGACAATAGCAATTAAGGTGGAGTAATATACTAATATGGGCAACAAAATTGCAGCAACTTGCAACAAAATCTGATTTCTGCGCATGTTAATTGAAATATTTTGTCAACATTTCTACTTAAAATGCGTTGAAATCAGATTTTGTTGCAGAAATTTTGGCTGCAGCAATTTTGTTGCGCGTATTACTCCAAAGTCCAACCTCGGTATTACTCCAACTTTAACAACAATTAATGCAGGCTACCCACATGTACGCAGCGCGTACCTATTTTTTAAGCTTTTCCCTTTTGTAAATACTAATCATCTAAAATTGCCCCTTGGAATTAAGGGGCACATTTAAAAATCCTTGCTCGACATTTCACCAATAGGTTTACTTTCATCATTAACTCTATTGCAATCGCCATCACTGAATGATAAAGTTTGTCGTGTGTGACTATTCTTTTGGACAGGCAGACCTTGCTGTGGGTTAATATTTATTGTGACAGATGAATTTGGTTGTGAAATATTATCAGCAATGAAAGATATATTTTGCTGTTGTGGGTGACTGGTATGGGCAAATGGATTTTGTTTCAAGCAATTATTAGCTATTATAGGTATGCTTTGCTGTGGTTGGTCATTGATAGGTGGTTGACTATGCTGTGATGGTGTTGGGTGTGGGCAACTAGCCACGTTGACAAATGAGAAATTCTGAGAATTAGTGATGTCTCTCACAGATGAATTTTTCTGTGGGCAAGGAACACTTTTTTGAAAATCAGCATTGATAGAATGTGCTTGGTTTATATTGACATTTAAGGACGGGCTTTGCTCAGGGTAATTATCTAGATCAATTTGCTGTGGGAGGCTCATATGTTCCTGTGATATTGAAGATGTGCAAAAGGAATGCAAAGATGTTTGACCCTTAATTCTATTGTTTGGCTTCTTAAGGTCAGTTGTTGAATTGACTTTTGTTTTTTTAGAATAATACCAAGCTGATTTGTGCTCTTTACGTTGTAATAATTTCATTTCAGACTCCAGATTTTGCTTTTCAGATAAAAGCTGTTTCTTTTCATTTAACAATCTATCACACAATTGATAATCTTTCACTTGCTCTGCTTTCAATTTGCGCTTCTCTTTAACCACGATTTGGTCATTTATTACTTGAAGTTGTTCTGTGATCTTAAGAATTCTGGTTTTTCTATCATCAGATAAAGTATTCTTTGGTTTTGAACTGGGAGGTTCTGTTTGATTATGTTTGCTCCTTGAAAAGCCTTTTTTGAAAACATATCCACGTTCCCTAACGTTTTGTCGGGCCTGTTCAAACAATGCACTTCTATCAAATATCAATGATGGATTCATAGTTACCAACTCTTCTGATGCAGCATTTCTGGTCTTTGATATATTTGCCCTCTTTGTATTGACTCATGTTCTGTCTGAGCTTGAAGGTTCACAATATCCTGAAAAAAGTCTGAATGAATGAATGTATTCACATGCACAAAACAACATATTTTCTGGATATACCTGTATAGCTCAATGTTCATATTTCAATTATAGTAATTTGTAATTGTCATACAAATTCTATAGTTTTAATTTGGGTGCCTCATTTTACATTGGAAAGAATTTAATAGTGGAAAAATACAATTTCCAGCACCAAATCATTTTTTTATGAATATCAAAGTATATCATGTGTGTGTTAACTTAATTTACCTGCTCTTGTAAAGGCTCAAGGATCATTTCACTCTTTGTTGATAGTTTTATTTTCTTTTGGCCTTTGAATACTTCTCAAACCTTCTCTTTGGGTAAGTCCCTCTTTGTGGAGTCATTCTGTTAAAATACAGATTAGTATTGTGAAACAATTATAATTCCCTTTCTCCCAAACCCTGCATAGTGCATGATTATATCCCATATGGCAATGAGGCAGATATGCCCTTCTATTGTATTTTACTCTGCCCAACGCCAGCCTGTTTTACTTTAATTGGCTATAAGTAAACAATGATTTTACTCTTCAGTAGTAGGGTACTGGCAGTTAATGGGTTTAGTCTACAAATTCTTTCAGTATCTGCAGCATATCAAATATTTTCTAAGAGGTCACATCACCATTTTATACAGCTTATTTATTTATTTATTTAATTATTTAACTTCGCCATTGTCATGCATTCATGGCAGGGTCACCACAACAGTAGATATAAATATAAATGCCATTTCTCTATTTATTTGCCTTTTTTTTTGCTTAGATATAAATGCCATTTCTTTTTCTTTATATAAACATTCAGAGACATAGCTAGAGCCACTCCCCCATGCAGAGTTGTTGGCCTGAACATTTACAGGAGTCATGCAAATCCATTATGTTGCAACCTCCTTGGTTTGTTGTGACTACATCATTGACAATATTTAACAATTAATACATGTAATTCGAACCAATATATCCCATTTAAAGAATGCATAAGTAATATAAAAATGGCTTTGAATGTTCAAATTGCATGGATGGTGGCCCATTGTTATCATTGTAAATTCAGTAGATAATTTTAAAATAAAATTATATTACACGAACAAAATTTAAAAAAAAAAATAAAATAAAATAAAAAAATTTATTTAAAAAAAAATAAATAAAAAAAAATATTAAAAAAAAAAAAATATATGTAAAAAAAATAAAAAAAGCAAATAAAAAACAAGAAACAAAAACTAACATGCGATTTTCGTTTTCGATTCTAAAATCAAATGTTCTGGACGTGGCCCATCGTTATCATTGCGCAATAAAATTCCACTGACCTTATGACCTAGTACTGCAGATTCAAATATCAACATGGCGGCAGGAGAAAGATTTCAAAATGTAGATTGGGAAGATGATGAAGAATTGAGAAATGATACAAAGAAATATGTAATGCAGAACTTGAAAAGGGCAGAGGTTTTGGATTTTCTAAAGCGCGACTATCCACAATATGCCTGGAGCCTTCCTACGCTAAGTAGAAGAATGCGTGCATTTGATATCAAGTACATCGACTATGATACAAATCTTGAACATGTGCAAAATGCTATTAAAACTGAAATAGATGGTCCAGGAAAGCTTTTAGGGTATCGTATGATGCAGCGTAAGATTCGGGAGCAGCATGGTTTGGCAGTGCCTCGTTCGCTTGTTTATGATGTTATGACAGATGTGAACCCAGAAGGTTTAGAAGCTAGAGGAAATGTTGGAGGAAGAAAAAGGAAAAGGGGTCCAACTGGAACATTTACATCATTGGTAATGGTTATAAATGTTTTGTTATAATATACCTAAAGCATTGCAGTATCTGTGACCTTTGCCACTTTATGCTACTACCGTTTTTTAATGTTGCTAAGTCGTCATGTATATGTTAAACTATTCAAGTTGCCGGGCAAAAGTTTTCAAGGCCGACAAGGCTGGGTTGGTGGCTTCAGATAAAAATGTCAAATTCATGTTTTGTGTGACAACTTGAATGTGGACGTGGCCCTTTTTTATTGTAATGTTTGATCAAATGCTTGAATATTGGCACAAAATATTTGTAGACTATTAACATTTCTGTCTCAACAGTCATTATGGTGATAAGTTCACATGTCCATAAATTTGGTCTAGGGTTTACTATGTCCAAAATAGATTGTTTCAAACAAATAATTAATCTATTAATAATAGAAATGTGTGTTATAGGGACCAAATCATACCTTGTCTGGGGATGGTCATGACAAACTCATGGGATTCACCAAAAGTCAGTTCCCTTTGGCTATTTATGGATTACAGGATGTTTTTAGCAGTAGAATGATGTTTCTAAAGATATGGATGTCAAATTCAAGTCCAACTTTAATTGGGAAGTGGTATTTACAGTATTTGTATGAAACAAGAGGTATTATGCTAGACATTTGAACTGAATTTATAGAAAGAAAAAAATATATATATATATATAATCAAAAAAACCAACCAAACCAAATCTTTTGATCAATCCAATTTTGTCATAATACATTAATTGTAATTAATAATCATATAGATGGTCAAGCTTAGAATGTTGGGTATTTGCTTTAAACATCCAATATTCCATCTACTGTAACTCGCTATTTCTTGTTTTAACTCACCAAGCTGCAATGCACTCAAATGTGCCTGACATTGTTATTTCAAACAGTCTAATGCAAATGGTTTTACTTGTCAAGGGTAGAGTCTTGTGCCTTAATTAATGGGTTAAATGCATTTATGATGCACCTCTGGTTATGAATTTCACTCCTGATGAGATACTATTAGTTTTTTGCAGTACCAACTAAAATGTGATGTACAAATTGGGGTTTTACCCTGCACTAGTAATTGTATTATTTAGATTTTATTGCATGTTTTTATAGTAATCAGTCGCCGTTTGCGCTTGGATAAAGGTACAGAAACTGGCCAAATGGCAACTATACATGCATATTTAAGGAATGCTAACAATGATATTGAAAATGCAGAAGACACAGTATTGTATGGATCATCCACTAGTAATAAGGTTAGTTTGGCAAAAAATGACGGTCTTAACAACTGTAACATTACATTACTTGACAAACCATGAATAAATTAAAGTGGTACGTAAGAGGCAAATTTCAGGCAATCAAATGTGGCATTCAATTTGGGCACATTGGTGACATTGCCACTTCAATGGGGTAACTTTTGGAATAACTGTTGTTCACAGTAATCTTTTGGTTTTAGATTGAGAGCTGGTGGAGAGAACTACATCACCGTCTTGAGAAGTATTTCAAGCACCAATTAAACAGACTTTTTGATGATGGACTATATGATCCAGATAACCAAACTGATAGGTGGGGTATATCAAAATACAGTGATGGACCGGACTATAATCTGTATTAGTGCAACCATATTAAGTACAATTAATTATCAGTTACGCATAATAAATATTTCTTTGTTTCTTTTCGAAGATACCTTTTGGCTTTTGTATACATACCAGTCTTACAAAAAGAACTTAATACATTTTGTGAAACTGTATGGAATTCACATCGTGTTAGGTGTCAAAGAGATGCCCAATTACCAAAGGGGGTACCAAACCACCTTTACAGTTTTCCTGAACAATATGAGGCTAGAGACTATGGTAATTATGTATTTAGTTAACATTTAACCCATTTCACCCAGAATACATTTTTTTACCTTTCTTGGCTTCTCGTAGATTATTACACAGTATAAGTTAATTTAACATCTTCATGGGATGATGAAAATGTAATATAGCACTATCCACCAGATACTACCAGATAGTCAACCTCTTACCCAGGGTCTTTCCTCTTGGGGAGCAAAGACCCTGGTCACGTGATCTGCTAAAATCTAGCAGATTTCTAATTAACTATCTTGGTTTTCTTTACGACAATCATACAAAATGTAAATTATAAATTAAACTATCAAAATAATCCAAATATCAAATGTTTATTGACCTGATCTTGGATTGCTAATTAAAAATCTGCTAGATTTTAGCAGATCACGTGACCAGCGTCTACCAGGGTCTTTGCTCCCCAAGAGGAAAGACCCTGGGTACGAGGTTGCCAGATAGTGTTTGTTTGTACCCCACATACACTGTTTCACAGTACAGAGGAACTGTACTAAGTATACTCTACCTTGCAGGTTTACCAGTTTCCAAGGAAGCCCTTGATGAAGTTGCAGAAATATCAGGGGTACTTGATGCTCATGATGACTACTTACCAGTAGATGTCAGAGAGCAATGTGAAGCAATAATCCCAGAAATATGTGAAGTAAAAAGTAAAAATGCTGCTGAAACATACTTATTTTTAAAGGCACACTATGTGTACTCAGAATAGTTAATTACAATAACAATGACAGAGATTTAATTTCTATAGTAAAAGCATGTTCCTGAACGTAACAATTAACAATGTTCTCCAACATAATAAAAACTGAATTTTAAGTTGTGCCAAAAAAATACCTGGGTTTCCAGTTTCTCAACCCTAACTACATGTACTTTTGGCCAATGGAATCACATGACCCTACTTTTTTTTAAGTTTGCAAGATTTTTAAGTTTAGATATAGGTAATGAGAAGCACACTGGTGTCCTAGTAATAATTTTATGCCACAATAATCCCTAAATGTTAGATCAAAAAGTCTAGTGTGAAATATGAAACCGTAATGTGATTGCCTCATGTTGTTGGCATGTATGACTGTAAAACTTATGTTGTATTCGATAAAAACTGAGAATAAGACAGGAGTTTTTGCAAAAAGAAACAGGAGAAACTCAGGTATTTTTTTTGCCTTATATATCAACTATTCAGTATACAATTTAGCATTCATAATTTCTGTTGTCATTAAATGTTAATGTACTTGCCTACTGTAGCTGTTTAAAAAGAGTCCATTATGCTCTTATCAATAACATGGGGGTGTATGCAGTGCTACCTTTAAATGATATAGTTATTTTTCAATCACCATTTTGCAAAATGTACTACATGTGTGCTGATCTAAAAAATTGTCAATGCTGATTGATGAAAGATTTCCACAGCAAAAATAGACTTCATCATCTATGTCAGAGAAATCTTTAGTTGCTATTTCTGGATCATATAGGGAATATTCAGATCCTTGGATGTCTAATAACATCAATTTCTGCCTGCTGACTACATATGTATGGTGAACCAATGCTTGAGCTTTTTGAAAGATTTCCTCAACACTTTCACTGGCTTCACTTGGTTGGATGCAATGTCCATCATTGTTAACATATTTGGTAAAGGCACCTGGTACAAACTCTTCCACTGTCACAGGTTGCCCATCATACATGGCAAAAAATACCTTGTTATATGAAAATGACTTACCAAATGATTTAGCAACTTTCAAGGTAAACTGCTTTGTTAGGTGTCTGGCAACTGAATGCATTTGGACTTGCTTCCTAGCATGAATCTCAACTGTTGAAGAAAGTGTTGTTACAATTGTGGTCCTGGCTTTCTCATTATATTTTTTGATAACCCATTTCTTTTGACTGGCACCACCTTCTGGCATCCCTTTATAGGCATCTCGAAATGCACCTGAAGCAAATTTCTCCTGATCGATGAAAACAGTAACCGGTTTTTCAGATACCCACTCCTTCTGTACAACATCAAAAGACTCTAAATTCAGCACTGTCTTTGTCTTGGGGACTGGCTTGATGAATTTGCCTGCCTTCATAAGTTGATTAATGGAAACAGATGCTGGATAGCTTTGTGTTTCCACTTTTTTGGGTGATGCAATGCATTCTGAACTTTTAGCACGCTTTGATCTTTGACGGGGAAGTTCATCGCTTTCACTGCTTGAGAGATTTACTGTTTCATCTTCTTGTTCAAGGTCTACCACAAAACGAACAAGGTATACCTAAACAAATTCCATGATTAAGTAAAGTTATAAATTTATATTGGGTCGTACCAGAAAATATCCTACTCCCCCACGGAGGAAATTTCTGCCGTCCGGAGGGGAGGGTAGAAAAAATTGTTTCTGATAATAGTAAATGTATTAAGGATTAACTTCCTATTTCCTCTGTGGGGGTGGTATGGATGTTTTCTGGAATGACCCATTAACCTGTACACAGTGTACCTGTCAGATACCTGGGCAATTAGAACATCGTGTTACCCAAACATTGCTAACATTGCCAGGCCTTACATTTGGGAAAAGGGAAATAACTGTGTTGAATGCAACTGTTTTTCAAATTTGAAATTAAAAATGTTATAACTGCAGTTTTAGTTTGTATTGTTGTCTAACTGGTAAAAACGGCGGGCTCGTATAGTACATATTTTGGCTGGAAATAACCTAAACCCTACCCCCAACTTTAACCTGACCTAACCCCTGATTTAGATCTTATAATTCCACAGGCTGGAAATGTTTACCAGAGCCTTGCTGTACATAACCTAATATTATTTATGGAACAGAACAAGGGGTCTATTGTATTGAAATTAATTGAATATTGGCAGATTGCATTTATTATTTGCACAGGGGGGTTGAGGACACTGGAAAATCCAGAGGAGGGGGTGTAAGAAAAAGGCCTTGGAAAATCCAGGGGGAGGGGTGAAAAGACAGCAGAAATCCAGGGGGTGGGGTGATTAGAGACCAAAATCCAGGAGGTCTGCAATTAAAGCCATTTTCCAGGGGTATCTGGCAATGAATTCCCAGGAAATTCCAGCGAAGGGGGTATATAAACTGAATTCCAGGGGGTCACAATTTAGCTGGTAAAAAGATGTCCTCAATCCCCCCAACCTCGTACCCAGGCTCTTTCCTCTACGCTCCTAGCTGGAGAAAATACCCTGGCTGGGGCTGGTCACGTGACCCATAGAAAATTGATAGCCTATTAGGGGGATGGGAAAGTCTCATATTACATGTTTCCACTTGCGCACTTCACACTTCGATTGCGAGGAGTGGCCGCCTGAACAATTATCTTTCAGAATCATATATATCATATATACTTCAAAATACTTGCTAAAAATTGGTTTTGTTTGCTTTTAAATTATACAAACCTGCTAAACTGTATATTCTTATAGAACGGACAAGTCAGGAAATCAAGCAACGAAAACGTATGATCGTATGCTTTGAAATATTTGCCCTTTTATTCTCTCGGGGTTCGGGCGCAGTTTCATTTCACGCGTACGTTTCTGTTCTGCCTCGGGTTCAGATATTTACTGTAAAATATTCTTATAATATGCCATTGAATTGTTGTTATACGGAACGGTATAAATTTGCTAAATAGAGGTCTCACTAGCGTCTAGCGACTGTGTAGGCGCTTCGTCTTGGTGGTCTTACAGCAAACGTTACACATTTGGACATTAGCTAAATAGATATCGAATGTCTATTCAATACTACAATAGATTATAAAAGCGTTTGTAAACATAGTCATAGTGCTCTAGATTTTCTTTAAAAAATAGGTTATCATCGTTTATATAAAACACCAGCCACCAGGTAGGAAGGAGTGTTACTCTTAACGTACAAAATTGTTTGGGATCAACAGTACAGAATTATAAGACAATTCACAACTGTATTCTTTTCCTTTTTTGTCTGCACGAATAACTGTATGCTGAAGCCAAAATACTGCACAGCATCTCCTATATAATTCTATAGCCATTTACCCTCGCCCCTTGAATGCAAAGGAATGATAGCTGATAAGTTTTAGCAAAATATTTTTTATTATACCTGGTATAAAGTGTCCCTAGACCCTACGTTTAATCAGGGATACATATTATTAAATTCATAAACAGTAAATTATGTACGCACGACATCTCGCTCATAGAATTCTTTAATGAATATAATAAAATATTTAGAGCTTCCATTGATATAGATAGGTTATTTGTCTCCAGTATCGTTTGGTGAAACATCTAGAAGGTCCATCACAGTATACGATAAAGTTTACTGCATGAATAAAGGTTGATATAAATATTGTCTTGATGACCCACAGCGGTCATGATACAAGTCGCAAGAAGCTGCATTTTAAGCGGGATTATTCTTCAAATAAAGGCCAATGGCAATGCCAATGAAAGGTCTTTAAACGATTTTTAATGTACCTGCTGTAAATTACTCTAATACATGAAATATGAAATAATTTACTATAAAGTACAATACCAGTGTCTGGTCGCATGTTTCGTCCTAAAAATATCCAAGTTGTACCCCACGCACGGACGAGTATATTTGGCGTTCGTGTGATAACAGATAGCTTTAGTATTATACTTCGATATAATCATTCTTCATCGTTGAGTTTGAGCAATGTAAATGCAGGGAATGTTACGTCCATAACGGGTTTTAATCCAGTGCTTTCATAGTCGGGATAGCATTTTTTACACACAGTTGGCGATGTTTGGGAAATCAAAGGTTGTTTTGAATATCGAACAGGATAGTTATACACTTCAAATATAAACAACCATATCGTTCGTTTGATCGACCAGTCGGTGTAGAAGACATTTATGTTTCTACGGCGATGCGTGCTCAACTTCGCAAGCCAGGCGCGTGTATAGTCCTTTCCTTGCAAGTGAAATATGATCCAACTTCTCGCTTGAAATGTACCGCAACACTTATTATTGATGACATTCAGTACAGCAGGAAGTCGTGTCATGATGAATACGAATTTAGAACAGTTCCTTTCACGATTTCTTGTTGTAAAGTGCATGTTTATCACCAGAAACTATAAAGCATAAAGTTGCAAATTCCAAACACGACAAACAGACTCCTCTACTACCCCTCCCACAGCAATTACACTTTTTGCCACCCAGAATTTAGGGTACACGTGACCAGCCCCAGCCAGGGTATTTTCTCCAGCTAGGAGCGTAGAGGAAAGAGCCTGGGTACGAGGTTGCAACCCCCCCTGTGCAATCTGCCATTTGAATATTAAATACAAACATTGATTTTCCTAGCCTTACTTTATCTTTTCGATGAGGTATCTGATTAATATTTTTGCACGAAGGAGGACCCTTGTTCGAGACCAGAATGTCACAGGTCTTTACCGGAAGACCAAAGTGTGTTGCACAAGCTTGCTTCAAATTGTCCAAAGTCAATTCGTCGTATTCAAACTCGACGAACTCACGTGGTTGAACCGGACGGAAAGTTTGTTTGTTGTCAGGTTCGGCGGTTAGTCGTTGAACAATCAGTTCACTGGCCGTTCCTTTTTGGCTTTTATTGCGTCCGCTAGGATTTCTTGTTCTTTTGGCCGTCATTTTGGCATTTAATTCTTTCCAAACCTGGTTCACCTTCGCCATTTTGTCGCAAACGAGCATGTGGAATACTGGAATCTTCGAATGGAAAACAAGTGTTTCCACTATTTCAATTGAAAATTGCCATTAAAGTTCGCAAGGCATGCTGGTCTATGATAACGATGGGCCACGTCGACAACATTTGATTTTAGAATCGAAAACGAAAATCGCATGTTAGTTTTTGTTTCTTGTTTTTTATTTGCTTTTTTATTTTTTTTACATATATATATATTTTTTTTTAAATAATTTTTTTTTTTTTTTTTTTTAGATAATTTTTTTCTAAAATATTTTTCAATTTTTTTTTTTTTTTTTTTTTTTTAATTTTTTTTTTTTTTTTTTTTTTTTTAGATAATTTTTTTTATTTTATTTTATTTTTTTTTTAAATAATTTTTTTTATTTTTTTTTTTAAATTTTGTTCGTGTAATATAATTTTATTTTAAAATTATCTACTGAATTTACAATGATAACAATGGGCCACCATAGCATGAGTTGATAGTGTTGAGTGTTGAGGAAAAGTGTAGTTTAATACTTACTAGAGATGTATCTTGACCATCATCAGATCGGTCAATATTATTTTAAGTTTATCACCAGTATTAATCTGGGCAAAACTGTCACAATCTATGTACTCGCTCCATTCTTCATCATATTTCTGGACAATCAATACGTTTCCTTTATTTAATTCAAAACATTCCCTCGCTTTGTTGACAATGTCGGAGAATTTGTCCACGAAAACCACCTTCCGACTGTCGTCATACTGATGTAGAACCTGTTTTGAAACGAAAACAAAATTTTAATATATATAAATATAAAACTTATCGCATGACTGCCCTGGGCATTCATAAGATATTTTATATTAATTAAATCACCAAAAATTATTTATTCATTAAAAAAACATACATATTTTAATAAAAAGACATTGGTTTCCGCGTTGATATATTTTTGTATTTTGTTATAAAATATAAATTTACCGCCCGACCGAGCATCTTCAGAGATTTAGTTATTTTTATATTTTATATCGGAATTTTTGCGATATAAAATTGTTTTATCGTTAATATTGCAACATGTTAAGGGATGCTTTGAATACTGAAGGAAAAAATGGGCCTATAGCCTTATTACAACGATTTGTGTGGACCCTTATGCATGTTCATTAGCGCATGTGCAATTATCCACTTATATAGCGTTCTTCTATAATATATTTAAGGGCAAATATAAATAATATTTAATATAATATAAAATTTTTTTATATTTTGACATAAAATATAAAATATAAACCTCCCGCCTCCCGGGAGTTTTTAAAATTTAGCGATGAGAATCAAGGAATTTATTTTATATGGCCATATTGTCGTTTGACTTATCTTTGATGTATGACTTTACTGTAATACCGTAGATTTTCAACAGACAGACTTTGACATATACCATGATCGTTGAGATCTTGCAGGAAATTTTATAGTCTTTTGACGGGATTTAAGTTTTGTGATAAGGCCTTTTAATATAATCAACAATCTCGATACAGTTGGCGTCTTGGCGATATTTCGGAAATCAAAAGATCTCGCTATTTCGTTCCAATTCCACATCTCATCAATAAATATATTCTTTTGGTCCGAGTATCAGGATATACTTTAATTCCAACAGTTAAATAAATATAAACCACATTGGTCGGTCTAGAGATATGAATTTTCTTGTAGGCTTAATATTGCCACGCCGCCCAGGCGTGCTTTCTTTGTAAGTTGAAATCTAATCCAACCACAGGCGGCCCAATCTCGCAAGGGTCAGTATAGACTTATAGTATAAATGTATATTATATTATATTAATGTATATTATATTAATGTATATTATAGTAAAAATATGTCGTAAAATATAAATTTTAAAATGAAATTGACTTGCCTATTTGATAGTGTGTGTTCGTTCTCCTTTTATTCCTCCTTTGTTGGACTAATATTTTCCGAGACTTTGTACTCGATGTTACTAGTATACATGAAACATGATATCATATTTCATGTATACTAGTAACATCGAGTACAAAGTCTCGGAAAATATTAGTCCAACAAAGGAGGAATAAAAGGAGAACACACACTATCAAATAGGCAAGTCAATTTCATTTTAAAATTTATATTTTACGACATATTTTTACTATAATATACATTAATATAATATAATATAATTTAGTATAATTACATAGGTGATTATTGAAAATTCTCCACCCTGATTGGTTGCCGTTGAGGTGATTATTACGCGATAATCACCTAAGCGATTTTCAAAATGGCGGCCAAAGCCTTTTTGTCAATTAAATGACGAATAGATGTGTATTTTTTTATTTTTTCCATATAATCACCTATGAAATTATACTAAAACAATTATTCACCTCAGGCTCGGTGATTATCGTGAATAAAAACCTCGACTTCGTCTCGGTTTTTATTCACCGATAATCACTTCGCCTTCGGCGAATAATTGTTAAATAATATAATATAATATAATATAATATAATATAATATAATATAATATAATATAATATAATATAATATAATATAATATAATATAATATAATATAATATAATATAATATAATATAATATAATATAATATAATATAATATAATATAATATAATATAATATAATATAATATAATATAATATAATATAATATAATATAATATAATATAATATAATATAATATACATTTATACTATAAGTCTATACTGACCCTTGCGAGATTGGGCCGCCTGTGATCCAACTTGCTTGAATTGTAACTCGACACTAGATTATAGAGCAGAAAGTCACATCACGATAAATATTAATTTTTAATTGCAGTTTTCTTCACGATTTCTTGTTGCAAATTTAAATTTCATCACAAAGAATTGCAAATATTGTTACAAACGCGACAAACACGCTCCTCTCCCACCCTGCCCATAGTATCATTTTAATTTATCACCCAGAATCTGGGTGACACGTGACCAGCCGAAACCAGGGTCTTTCCTTCGCCTCGCACCGTTCTAAGAAAGACCCTGGGAACGAGGTTGCCCGTCCTCAAGATGTCTGATATACTCAAGCATGTGCTTCTCCTCAACAAAAATACCGACCTGCTGCTTCTTTCACCTCACTAACGCCAGATGAAATGGCACCGTCTTTAAAAAAACATTTAAGATTGGTTCTAGGGGTGAAATTATCAACAGGTTGTTGTTGTCCGTCATTAAGCGTATAGTCGGAGTCTTGAACACGTTCATATAGTGGCTAGGATTTCCTGGATCAGGGTAATGTGCTGGAACCTTGGAGAACGTCGCCCCCACATGTCTTTGCATGCCTGTCAAAATGTATGTAAAAGCGCCAGTATGCTCAATTTCTATACTTTTCATCCTGAACATATCATTCTTACAAATCGTATGCTTTTTTTGTTTTTGGAACTGCTACTGTTTGGGGGGTAGATTACTTCACAAACCTGGTGCCAAAAAATTTAAAATAAGCTATAGGTGATTTCATGCATCCATTTAGAAGAGCAGACTAAGGATATTTTTATTATTTTAAAACTGAATTCGGTTTCAAATACAAACTATCAGGGACGTAGCGAAGCATCCGACGGGGGGGGGGGTGTCGGAGGATTATATCAGTGGATTATACGTGTAATAATTATAATTAAGGTTACAGGACACCCTTTTTGGCGTTTTGCGGAAAATCGCTACTGCGCGCTCAATATCAGTCCGATTTTCATCAAATTTTCACCAAATGTTCTCCAGTGCATGCAAAACATCAAACGTGGTCAGATAGTAGAACTAGTCTAATGCTTTCATTGAAACCAATAAAAAAATTTTAGGCAAAATTAACGCTCAAAGGTGTTCTATAAACCTAAAGCTTTTTGTGATTGATTGGCACTCTCATACAAAGTTTTGGGAGAAAAGGGCGGTCCCCCAGAAAATTTTTACATTTTTCAAGCTCTAGGACTGAATTTCTGGCGTTTTCTAAAGCAAATTCGCAAATAAATTGCATGTAAATGGACTGTATTTTACAAAAATGGGTATCATTTCATAAAAATAATTACTTTATTATGCAAATTTTACCTGAAAATGTCAAAATTTTAACTTGAATTTTACATGATTAATTTTTGCCTGAATTTCACAGTAGGGGGAGTTTTACACCCTCCTCTTACTGTCGAGAATTGCCCCCTGATAGTTCTCAACACAATACGTTTAGTTTTCTTTAGTTTTAATAACGTTTATACGCACTATAAATCTCTCACAACGCGCTGTCTCAAAATTGTTTTACAAAAACAATAACAACTACCGGTATATTCCGGAACTTTCCGAGAGGGTTCAGTTCGGACTCGCGCGTCCCACGCGTAAACATAACATAATATATTATATGACAGTTTTCGACACCCTCCCCCCATATAGCTTGTAAAGGATATATGTTCTCAAGGAAACTTTTACTGTAAATTATCAAGTTCTAATGTCTCAATGTTTACACTTGTTCTTCATTTTCGATTTCGGCCATTTCCTGGATTCTGGAGTTGGTCGAAAAACAGGAGCTGTTGGGTTAAGGGGTGGAGGGTCCTCTTGAGGCTGATTGCACGACAACTCTAGAGGGTACAGGTGATTAACCGCTCTCTACAAGTGACCATTTGACGTTTTCACCTTTGCTGCACGGATGACACCATCTCTCTCCGGAAAGAGTTCTTCAACTATTCCCAATGGCCACTTTCCTCGGTTTCTTTCATCAGAAGCGATGATTACAACTTCTCCGACAGACAACGTAGACGGCTTCCCATGGTGTTTCATGTTGTGCTTCTCTCGTAACGCTCGTAGATACTCGGTACTCCATCTTTTCCACATATGATCTTTGCATGTTTTGAGATATCTCGCTCGTTTTCTAAGGTCTCGATTTTCTTCATGGTGAGGTTCCAACGCAGGTAATACGGTAGTGTCAACGAACTGTAAACTATTTGGCGTCAGTGTAGGTAACTCTATGTCATCTTCCTGATATCCCAATGGGCGATTGTTTAAAGTCACTTCGATGTCTAACAGTACGTCTTGCAACTCGCTCCAAGTTAAACAGCTGTTTCCAACTGACTTGTATAACGCGCGTTTTACTAGTCCGACGAGTCGCTCGAATTGCCCGCCCCACCAAGGGGCGCGACTCAAGTTGAACTGCCAATGAATTCTCTCGTTCGCCAATTGGTTGTGGAATTGCTCATCAGATTGTACCTTCTTTAACCATGTTGATGCAGCTGCAAACGTTCCTGCGTTATCCGAGTAAATCTTCTCAGGTCTCCCTTTTCTTGCTATGAGCCGTTTCAGTGTTTTCAGAAATTCACCTGTTTCCATCGTTTTCGTCAGCTCCAAATAGATTGCTCGACACAGACTACACGCGAACAATGTCACATACGCTTTTCCTTGTGTTTTCTTTGTCACACGATATTTTATCGGTCCAGCAAAATCCACTCCCACGACTTGGAATGGACGGTTACCTTGGGTACGATCACGCGGTAAGTTTCCCACTGGTGGTCTTGCGACTCGTTTGGCGTGGAATCGTCGACACCCGAAACATTTCTTCATTACTTTCTTCACCAACTGTCTCAGCCTAGGCACCCAATATCGCTCTCTAATTTTTGTCATAGTCAAACCAACTCCCCCGTGTAAGCTGCGCTCGTGAGCATCTTGGACCAATCTTTTGGTGTAGAGATGGTCATCGGGTAGATATATTGGGTATTCTCCTTGCAATCGACCGTTACAATACATCACTCCGTCTCCTTCGTTCGTCTTCACATTAAGCCGTAGCTTGTCTTCGGTTGCTTGGTCATTTTGGTATGATTGAGCTCGTTTTACCCAGAACGCGTGTTCGTTGTTGATTTCTTCAGTTATTAACGGTCCTTTGTGACGGTTTTCTTTTTCGGCTCTGCAGTTGAACACGAATCGATGCACCCAGGCGATAACTCTGATGGCTTTCGTCAATGAAAACTTTGCGAGAAGGTCGTCAAACTCATCTCTCGAAACCACGGCTGCACTGAAAAGTTCTTTCACTGCTTTTGCTTCAGACTCGCTTTCGGGAGTAGCTGTCGTAACAATATCTGGAGGCCATTGATCTGGGTTCACCAACCATTCTGGGCCGTTCCACCAAACGCGATTTCCCGATACTTTGCCTCCCCTGCTTCCCAGGTCGGCTGGGTTATCATTTGTAGGTACATGGCGCCAGGTGATTTCAGGATGCTCTTGGATCTTCTTGACCCGGTTTGCTACAAATTGTTTATACTGTCCACCGCCTCGTAACCACTGTAATGCAACTGTGCTATCAAGCCAACCGAATACACTTATCACTGGGACATAATCAATTGCTTGTTGGACATTGGATACAAGATTCGCGGCCATGTGAGCCGACACAAGTTCCAATCGAGGTATGGTGAGATCCTGTTTTGCTAACCGTGCTTTAGCAGCAACTAAACCAACGTTAACACCCGACTCTTGCTTCGTAATGGCATACACCGCAGCAGAAACTCCCTTTTTGCTTGCGTCACCGAACGCATGTAGCTCGACTTCGTCTACGATTTCCTGATGAACTGCTATGGATCTAGGGACAGTCACTTGCTCAGGGAGTTCTTTCACCCATTGTTGGTATTCACCAGATAGTGGTTCTGAAATCTTCACATCCCATGGTACTTTCTATTTACAAGCCTCACGGTAGATATGCTTCCCTTTGAGAGTGACAGGCGAAACTAGTCCAAGTGGGACATATATTCTCGCAAGATTTCGCAAGAGTTCTCTCTTCGTAACAGATGTTTCCATTTTGGGAATCACTATGCTGATTTCATCTTCTTGCTTGTTCCACGTTAGACCAAGCAGGCTTGATTGGGACTGGTTAAATCTGGTTAGCTGCTGTTTTGCAAAGGTTTGATCAGGTTCAGCTTCCACTTCGTTCAAGTCCCGTTCCGGTTTCACTTCACTCTTTTCGCATTCAGTTTTCAGTTTGTTATCTTCTAGCTGTGGTTCGTTTGAGTGCCATTTATGCAAGGTAAACTTGGCATCTTCGAAGATCTTTATGGCACCTTCCTTTAGCTCCATTGCACTGGGAACTGTTGGTTTCCCACTT